TAAAAAAGTTCTGAGACCTACAACTTTCTATCAAATAGTGATCTCGAGGCGGGACGCACCGAGAATGATATAATCACGGTCGAATAACACGTTTCTGTCGTTGTCCACTAGATAGCTGCAATAGTCTGGTCCCTAGGCGACGTATCCCGTTTTGTCCGACTATCCCGTTTTATCCAACTCTCCCCTATATGTTTAAAAACTGTTGTTATTTAATTAAGAAACTATTGCTTTAAAAAATTAGGTTTTGTAATTTCATTATTCCTTCTAAGTATATTTTTTCAATTCAATACATTTAATAACGCTTATTACTTTCTCTGAACTACACTATTATTTTTTAAATTATTTCCCAAAATAAATTTACTCTTATATTTTCACTTCTTTCAGCACAGTAGCTCACACCAATTTTTTTAAATATACTAGCTCAATTTTCCTACTCTTTTTTCAGTAAGAAAAGTATTTGCAGTTTCTTTAAAAAAAAAAGCTGCATGGTGCTTTAAGTTACCCAGAGAAAAAAATAGGATCAAGATTCAGGAAAATTCAATATATATATTTTTTAAATCTATGCGTCATTAAAGATACTATTGTAGGTCTACGAAAAAAATGTTTACATCATTCTTTTTACTTCAACTAAAGGCATTTTTGTGCAATTTATTTTCTTTTGTAGTGAATGGGAATTTTTTAAATTAGGTTATATTAAGTCAGTTTTGTTTATTTCTCGTTTTACATTTTTCGTTACTTGAAAAAAATATTGATACTTTCAATGGTTGAAAATAAAAGTTTTTAGGTGATAAATTGATACCTACATAGAGAGATAAGAAAATTCCTTTGAAAAATATGAATAGATAAAATGCTTACAAAATATTTTCTTATTTATACATTTTCTTTTCACCATTATAAGAGTTTTGTTAACTCCCTTTGCTGTCAATTTCCTAAATTTTTTGGCTGTATTAATATATTTTTTTATATCTTTTGATCCCTTTATTTCCAAATAAAAAATATTTTAAGATTTTCTTTAAAGAAAATTATAATAATTACTTTTTCAGTTATTATTTTTGTAATTTTTTTTGCTCAGTTGGTTTACGTCTTTCTTCAAAATTGTAGCAATGCAAAAATAGTGACTTTTTTTAAAATATTTACTATTAGCAATATTATTATTTAGTTTTAAATTATAGCAGCATTTCAAATAGAAAATTAAAGTTTGAATTAATCAATTTCTTTAAATTATTCATGCATTTTTTTCTGATTGGTCTTCTAAATTCCAGTAAAATCATCATAGTCTATGATTAAAAAAAATTGTTAAAAAATCATAGTTCCAGTAATAAAAACCAAAATATACGGTGTTTAAACCGTTCATTTGTTATTTTTTTACTGATATAGCAACGGTTTATCGGAAATATCAGTTTCCTGAATTGTAGTTATTAATGCCACACATTTAGTAAAAAGAAACTGAAAAGTAGATTTAACCGAATAAATGGTTTTCATGCCATGAACCATAATAAAATTACCAAATTTTGCCACACTTATTAAAACCATATTTAAATGGTAGTTTTACCAAAATTTCTATAATTTTACCAAATTTTTGACCTTCTTGGTGTTATGAAAAAGCTAGAAACGCGGTAAATTTTACCATATTTTGATATTTCTAACCATATTTTTTCAATGTGCATTTTGAGCTAGATAGTTTTATCTAATTACTTTCAAATAATTATTTCTTCTATTTAAAAGGTATAAAACTATACAAATTTGAAATTAAAAGAGTTAAATTTTAAATTAATTTATATTAGTTTCGAAAAGATGAACAAAACATTAAATTTTTACTTTCAAAAATCAAGCCCTAACATAACAATGTATAATGATATTTTAACATTTTTGTTGTTTGCGTATTGTTGTTTACATTCTGCATCTTTAGCTTCCGATTAAACTACACTACTCAATTTTAAGGAATTTTTAAGTACAGCAACATGCTCATTGTATGAGATCATCGTTTATTTTTAGGAAATAATGTAAACGAAGGAAAACAGCAATATATTTTCTTTGTATTCAGGCGCTGATTTAAATTTTAAATATAATAAATGAAATCTTTTTATCAGTATTACACCACATTGAGAAAAAAGAATAGTAAAAGATATCAGATTAAAGAAAATTTTACCATTATTCTCCCTCTATGGGAACACCAAAAGGCTTGATATGATTTATTGAATCATCGCTTTGGAAATAATGTTGAGAAATTACCAGTAAAATATGGTTTTATAATATACGATAAAATTTGGTTCAGGTGGTAAAATGTGGTAATTTTAACATGATTCATTCAAGCATAGCATAAAAATCTTTAAGTCAGTTAAATTTTCTCATCAGTTTTAAATTTTTTACTTGATATGTAGTAATAAGAACTGCAATTTTAAAAACCAGAATTTCAGGTAAAATTACTCATTCTCAATTTGGCCTGTTTTTTTTATTATTACACTGTTAGATTTTAATTAATCATTATTTTACGAAAAATGTGTTGTAATTTGTTTTCAAATAATTGTTCGAATAAAATGATTGAAATCAATCTTTTAGTAGGAAAATATTTTTAAAAAAACCATACATAAAAACTTTATATAAGAATGACGCTATTAGAAAGATATTCAAAATAACTTAACGTTGGTAACTACCAGAAAAAGAATAATTTTTTTTAAGTTACAGTCAGCTTTAACTAAGCTGCAAAATGCAAACGTTAATTACTCTAAAATTTGTTTTAATTTTTTTTCAATAAACTCTTTTGAACGATAAATTTTTAATTTTTAGCAAGTGTTTACCTTAAGTTAGTTTTTGATGCAATATAAGTTAGCATTTGATGCAATACTGATACAAGAAATAGAAGAAAATCTTGAAATATTTTTTTTTCTAAATTTATACATAAATGCTAAAAAAAAGTTAAAAAATATCAATAGAGATATTTTTAAAATGTATTAAAATTATTGAGATTGAAATCCTGGATAACTAAAAAATATCTTGCATAACGATATGATGAGGTAGCTGAGATTTTTTTAATATAAAAGATAAAAAGAAATATTCTTTACTTTTATAAAAATCGAGTTCTCAATATGATCGCAATGCGTTACGAAAAGAAGGAAATAAGGAAGAAAAAATAAGGTATTTTGGAGATATCGGAAAATGATTGAATGGTTTGCTTTCAACTATATCACAAAATGATGCAAATTTTCTTTTATTCAATGCAAAACTGCATTCTGAAAAATGGATTCTAACTATTTTCTTCTTTTGAATGAAAAGAGTTTTCTGGGAAACTGAACCTTAAAATGAAAAACAGTTAAGTCACATTTTCTTCAGATTTTTCTTTAGATTAAAAATTAACGTGATATATTTCTTTCTTTTTAATAGTTATTCAAATCATTCTTAACTATTATTAATAGCAGATACTAAAAAATATTTTTTTTAAAAAGAAGAATTAGTATGAATTGTTCATGTTTTTCTATCAAATGTGTGGCACAGGTTGAGCAAAACTAATATTTGTTAATGTTTATCTCGTTGAGGTCGCAGGTTGAGCAAATAATGATTTTTTTTACTTATCTCTTAATTGTTTGTCACAGTTTTAGTTTATCACTTAAATTTGAAAAATTTAGTTATTTTTGATAAAGTCCCATTTACAATTTACTGCAATCGATATTAGACGGAATATGTGAGAGTTTAATGTTATTCAAACTAGATTTCCTTTGCAAAAAATTATAAATGAAATAGAAATATATAATACAATTTACAAGTGGAGATGACGATATAATCCTCAGATAGCAGGTAATCATATTTCATTTTCAATTGGTTGCCCATCATAAGGTTGACTAAGTAATCCTTTTTTAAACTCAGTAGATTGTATTAATAATATTATCGAATATATAATCGACTATATAACTATTTGACTATTTGATATATACTGAATATATATCGAATAAGTTTAATTGATATATTAGTATTCCAAGCTTGAATAAAGGTATGACATAAAGATTGTATGAAGGCATGCAATAAACTTTCCAAAAAACCTCATTTTCCAGCTTTTACTGTGAATCTTGTCTTTTTATTTTTTTTTTCATTCTAGCTTTGTTCAGGAAGCATTTTGTTTGTGATGTTAATGATTAGGTTAAAATTTAATGAAAATTTAATATTCTCACTTAAGTGTTAAAGAAAATACACAAATGATTATAAACCTTGTTTGAGTAATGGTCTTAAAATTTTTAAAAATCTGGAGACTGTGTATTTACCCACGGTAGTAAAATGTTTTCTACTCTTGATTTACGAATGATGATTTTTTCTCGATTTCAGAAGAATTTTCTAGCCTTTTTTTGTGAAGGCAAATTCAATCTAAAAAAAAGAAAATAGTTATTTGCGTAAATTTAATGGGAGCCTCATAACGCGTACACTAACATATTTAAATTTAACAATATTTTAAACTTACATGGTTTATTTGCTAGTCATTTATAAACTTTGTTGGGTTGTGCGATAAAGGTTATTTCCGACTTTAAAATGAACTTTACACTGCTCTCTATGATGTATTTTGAATTGGTATAAGTTGGTATTTTGAATAGGCTCTCAGCTGTAAATTTTAAGTTCCTGGTAGTGTTTTTATGGCTCTCTACCAATATTCAAAGATCCATGAAGATTCAAAATCCAAAATGACATTAATCTTTAATATACAGGGTGTTGCGCAAAAACATATCTTAATGTAATATGCTTAGAATCCTTTCAAGAAAGGAAAAAAAAAGGAGGAAGAAAGACCATAGCNCTGTGTTGCAAGTTTATACGATCCCTTAGGACTGTTTACACCATTCACGATAATTGGAAAGATACTCTTTCAAGATACTTGGATTCTTGGAATCGATTGGGATGAAATTTTGATGAAAAACTTGGCTACTGTGTGGTATACAGTTACAACCCAGCTCGATGCCATTTGCTCAAAAGGAATTCCTCGTTACAAAGGAATTTCATCGCTTGATTTTTTTAATATTCATATGTTCTGTGATGCATCTGAGCGAGCATATGGTGCAGTTTTGTACATAGTTACCTCTCATAATAATCAATCAAGTATCCATTTAGTATGCAGCCGCAATAGACTTGCACCTATAAAGAAAGTTAGTCTTCCACGCTTAGAGCTTTTAGCAGCTGTGATTGGTACCAGACTGCTGAAATATTTTTGCAATGAAACTGGATTGTCGCCATCTACAGCCACATTATGGAGCGACTCTGAAGTCACCCTTGGTTGGATTCGGGGTAATCCCAACAGGTGGAAAACCTTTGTGTGCAACAGGGTAACAGAAATAATTTCATACACTGACCCTTCACAGTGGCGGCATTGCCCGGGACAAGACAATCCAGAGGACAAACTATCAAGAGGCGTTCCTACATCTACACTGAAAGACCTCAACATCTGGTGGAACGGGCCCACTTGGCGGACTGAACCCACAGAAAGTTGGCCAGATTCGAAAGCAGATTACTCTCATAATTTGAAGGTAAAGAAAAATAAAGAAATTCAAACATTTCATGTTACTGCTTTTCAACCCATCATCGACGCAAAAGACTACAGCTCCTACTTCAGACTGCTACGTGTTACTGCATGGATTCTACGTTTTAACTCGAACTGTAGATCTCAAGGCAAGAAAGTCAGAGAATTTGACACTGCAGAAATATATGATGCTAGAAATTACTGGACACAAGTGGTTCACAAGGAGTCATTTTCGTTAGAATACGAAGCTTTATCAACATCCAAGTCACTACCAAAAAATTCAAAGATTACAAAATTCAACCCATTATTTGAAAACAAATTAATACGTATTGGTGGCAGATTACAGTTTTCGAGTTTATCAGAGTCCCAAAAACATCCAATTTTGCTGGACGAATCTCATCATTTCACAAGTCTGATGATACGTCAAACACATATCAAAATGCATCACCTAGGTGTCAGAATAGTGCTTTCAGAACTACGCTCAAACTTTTGGATTCTATGAGGCCGCCAAGCCATCAAGCAAGTGATTTACAGATGCCTACCATGCAAGATGTCACGAGCAATTCGCTGCACTCAAATTGAAGCTCCTCCACCAGCTGATAGAATAAACCCAGTTACACCATTTTTCACCGCAGGAAAAGATTTTGCTGGCCCCGTACATGTTCGCACTTTGAATCCTTCAGACGCAGCTTACATTGTACTGTTTACCTGTGCAACGACCAGAGACATACATCTCGAACTTGTGTCAGATCTTTCGACGGACAAGTTTCTGTTAGCATTGCAGCGATTTGTGGGTCGTAGAGGACTACCACATACCATCTATAGTGATAATGCTGCTACGTTCCACGCTGCAAATAAGGAGCTAATACTTCTAATGAACACTCTTACATCTACTAAAGTGCAACAGTTTTACGCTCATAATGGCATAATTTGGAAGTTCATCGTACCCAGAGCGGCTTGGTGGGGAGGTTGGTGGAGCGCCTAATCGAATTAGTGAAAAATTGTCTTCGTAAATCTCTTGGTCGGACACTATTGGATAAAGAAAATTTATCAACTGTACTAGTAGGGATAGAAGCCGCCCTTACCAGCAGACCCATTGTATATGAAGAGGGAGATGAAGACAATACGGAAGCCTTGACACCGGCACATTTCCTAACGGGTAGAAAATTAACATCCATACCCACAAATCCGAATAACAATCCAAGACTTACTAAACTCTTCAAACAACAACAAGACGTGTAGGATATATTTTGGAAAAGATGGTTCAAAGAATATCTGCTGCAACTTCGCACTTATCACCAAGTTCGCAATATTCATAAATCCTTCAACATCCGTGCAGGAGATCTTGTACTACTACAAGAAGACGTCAGATCCAGACACATGTGGAAGAAAGCCCGAATTACCAATCTAATTAAGGGACGTGATGGGGAAATCCGAACATGTGTGTTAAGAGTGAATGGAAATACTGTAACTCGACCTATACAACTGGTCATCCCTCTTGAGGTTGACCAGGGTGGGGAGGATGGTCCGTCATCAATAAACAGTTAGTTTTAATAATTGTTTTAAATCGTCTGTCGATATAATAACTGCAACTCCAGCTGGTTGCTAGGCAACCAAACGACTTTTTCTTATTATTAATGTTTTTGTTTATCGTTCGTCTCTGTATGTCTGTGGAATTAAGAGAATGTAAAAGCTAACAAAGATCTCGTGCAAAATAAATTTTCTGAAACGATAGACTAAGAGAGAATATTTAAAGCAAAAATGAATCACGAAAAAGCACTTAATTACAATAACTTTCGAACAATTTGGGATTTTGAAGGAAAATTTGGGTTAAGTTCACGAATAAAAATGGCATATCATCAGGCTAAAGATTGGCCAAACATGATGTTTTTTCCCTACAAATTTGTTAATTCATTATTCTTGAACTAATTATCCAATTTTTACGTCGTACATAGTATGTTTACGTCGAAATCCACTCGTATTCCTGGTACGTTTTTTTTATGTCTCCGTAATGTCAAATCTACACACATTACATTGTGCAGTAAAGCAAACTGTAACGCAAAGCAAACAAAAGGTGATAAATATTTCTTAAAAAAAGCTCTTAAAATTGCTACTACTCTTGAACAAATTTAAATTTTGGAAAACACATTGTGACTTAAGTTAAAAAACAAAAAAGGCCCTTTCAGCATATTAAATTGTTGTATTCTTGCGGCTTGTGCAGCGGTGGTATTTGTTCCCATTTGGCCGTATGGTACTTTTCCTTACAAGTTTCAAAGTTAACGATTATCAATTTTTTTCGAGGAACTTTTTGCTCATTTTTCTACAAACCTTCGTAATTTCAAATTTCTAAATCTTATAGTTCTCGCAAATAAAAACGAAATGTAATGTTCAGTTTAACATCCAAAACAGTGGTGGCTGTGGAGGCTTTTATGATTTTTTAATATTGAGGTAAAAAATATATTTAAAATATATTATAAAATCTCCATCAAAATACTTTAACCATGCTATTTGTGGGCATTTTAAAATCTCGTGCGATAAATCTAAGCTGACTAATACATTAGTTTTGTTCAGCAATATAGATTTAAATTAAAGATTAATTTATTTAATTAAGCATTATGTTCATCTAAATTGTTAAATCGCCTAACTTCCATTATCTTAATTTACAAAAAGTTACTCATATTAAAATCACAATTAAATTCTATTCAAAATCACTTAGATTATAGCTGCTGTTAAGTTGATTAATAAAAGCTGGATTATATATAAAAAGAAAAAATGCTCAAATTATGAAAAGATTAATGCTTCAAATCTAAGCTTATCAAATATTACTGTGCTAGAATGATTATTTATTAAATATATATNACTATATATATATATATATATATATATTATCAATACTCAGAAATTTGTTTTTAACTGAAGAGTCTATATTTCTTTATGTTAAATGTAGCAAAAACATTGTAAAATTCATCAAAGCACAAAAGCTTTCATGGCTTGGTCACATAGAGAGATTACCTTGCAATTGAATGGTAAAAATCTTGCATTGGAAGTCCATGGGCAGTAGGCTTAGAGAGACCGAAGTAAAGATGGATGGATGATGTTCTGAATGATTTAAAAACTTTAAAGGTCTCCAAATGGAAGATCAAGGTCAGAGAGAAAGCTGTCTGGAGAAGTATTGTGCAACAGGCTAGGGCCTACTCTGATCTGTAGTACCAGTAAAGAAGAAGATGTTATTATTAAGAAAAACATAGTTGGCACAATGCAAATTCCTTCGTTTATAGAAATTTAAATTTCATTAAAAGTTAGTATTTAAATTCGAAAGATGAGCTGATTTCTAATATTAGTTTTGAGAACAAATGTTTAGAGAAATGCTACAAAATATATTGGAGAAGTTCAGCAAAGAAACTCTGACGAAATAACCTATCGGGATGCTCAGAATATCTCTTCAGTTTGAATAGACGTAAAGATTGTTTTTATGCTACCGGGTAAACCTATTTCGTAGTTTGCAAGAGATAGCAAAAAAGAGACAGAGAACTTAAGCTGAAAAAAACTTTATTAGGAAAACTTGGTCCTTAATATTTAAATTTATTTAAATGAGAAATTATTTGAATGAAGCATAAACTCTACGTCTGATGTTATATCAAATAGATATTATTGTCCTCAAAATTACAATATCAATTTATTTAGATAAATCATCTTCATGCAGTTTAATCATTAAATTTATGTGTGGGACGCATCATTTGTCAATATGAATCAATAATGAAATCGCATCATATGAATCAATAACGAAACCTGAGCAACATAAAGTTCTTAAAAAACTAATGCTTTTTTTAACCAAAACCAAATATTGTCTTTCACATCTAATCTCAAAAAATCAATTGGATTTGAAATTTCGTAACTTTGCATGGTAGTAATTCTTCAATAAAGACATTAAATTAGAAAAATTTACATAAGAGTTACATAATGATTAGCATAATGGAATTATATTGTAATATTTTTATTCCCAATATGCATTAATTTGTTTTATTTTTGGAAGAAGAAAGTCGAAAAAGTGTGTTCTAACTACACTTATGAAATCTGAATGTAGTTTTATGACTTATGTCTGAGTGAAAAGTTAATTAACAATAAGTAAAGAAAAACACCTCTTTCCTTCATGATATGACTTGCACGTCCCCATTAATGAACTGACAAATAGAAAAAAAAATATTGGCGTATGATGGTGAGACTTTTTTTAATTAATACGATTGTTCTTTAAATAAAAATGGGCTTTTTTCACTCTTCTTCTCACCAAAACTTATGCATTCTGTTTCTATGAAGTGTCATGAGTAAGAAAGTAAACATTAAAAAAAATACCATTATCACCTTCTTTTCTCAGTTTAATGAAAATATAGAATTTTTTTTTCTTTAGTGAACAGTGGAGACAATATAAAAAAATATTTACTTTACATTCACTTTTTCTTCTTAAGCATTATTCTCCTAAAAAGTAATTAAAAATAAGAGAGTTAAAATAGACGCATACTTTTTTTTCAGTCTCTATTCTCCACTTCTCATTACATCCATAAATTAAATGGAGTTTTTGCTCCAAAACATTCTGAGAAAAAAACCTTTCTTTTTTCATTTTATTCAAGCGGTCAATCAAACACATTAAACAAGCGTGAAATTAACTTTTGGAACTGTTTCAGACAACAATAGAAAATTTAAGTCAGCATTTTAATTACTTTCTTGATTGTGTTTAATTTGAGTCTAAAGCATCATTGTGATATTAAATTTATTGCAAATAAAAGTTTATTTATTTAATGTATGTAATATGTTTCGAATATTATGTTTGTTTTATTTTAAACGTAGAAAAAAATCCTATCATTCCATAATAATATAAGAATATGCGTTTGTTCTAAAATTTTTGTTATTACATAATTCCTTTCTCCAATTAATATGAATAAAAATCTCGTTACCCACTCATTCCTATTTCGTGGAATCTTATTTTAATCTTATTCATGGATATATATATATTTAACACTAGAAAGACTGTAAATTAGTATATACCTATATTACCCAAAAGCAGTCAAAATGACAGGATTGTGAATGAGTAAATAAATTTGCTTAAAATAAATTTTTAACATGTTTTGTATCATTTACAGTTATATAGCAAGTTATTAGTAAATATTAGCAATAAAAGAAATTATATGTTGTACAAAAAGTCACAGATTTCTAAGAAATTGTGTCATTATATACATCATGGTCTCTCTAATTGAAATTAAAAGCAGTCAAAATAACTTCTTTAGGCAATCTAGTGATACATGGGTCAATTAGGTCAATAGGTCAATAAATATTAGGAAATACAGCAGATTTCTCAATATTTTTCTTCGTCATTTTTCGTAAAGTTCTAACTAACAAATCATGTGCATTTCTGCTAAATGTATTTAATATTTCATTCTTATTTTTTAATAAACATAACTTCAAAATCCCCTCCGTGGACGTCCCTACGTCTGTGACACAAAATAATTTTTTTTGGCTGTTAAACAATTTAAATGTTATTTTAATGATTTTTGCAGTTTTACCTAGTTAAATGTTTATAGTAATTTTTCATTTAATGTTTTTTTTAAAAACATTTATTTTTATAAAATAAATTACTAGTAAACTTTGTCCATCAAAAATGAAATCTCCCTCCATGGACAATTAATATAGTTGGTAAATTTGCAATAAAGGGCAGCATATGCGAAATCCCTATAAGACAGCTGCTGGGAAAGGTAACCATTCCATTTTCTAATGTTAACTATCAGTTGTTTTTGTTCTCTTTGGTGTTAGTTTTGGATTGATGTGTTCAATCGGGGTTTGGCAAAGTTCTCACCGCATACTCCGTGGACATCATAAAGAAGGTAAGAAGAAATTTTTTTATTTTTGATAGATGAATTTTAGATTGCAAAAATTAGCCCCATTTTTGTAACTTTAAAATTAAAAATCAGTAAAATTCAAGAACTAATTATTGTCTCCTCCGTGGACGTCCCCTCCGTGGACATAACAAGTCCACGGAGGAGAAGACGCAGTCAATGGAAGAGACAATGTGCTATATAACCATAATACAATTTTAATAATTGAAAAACTATTTTCTTTTAATTGATATTTTTTAAAATGGAACAAATGTGTTAATTTGTTTGTATTTTTAAAGAAAATCAATTAAGTTTAACTTTTTCTTATATGAGAAGTAAATATTGACAATTTCTCTAAATAATATCTGTGATGTTCAA